AGTATTTCATAGCCTGTGTGATTGCACAGGTACCAAGTGAATTATCAGCCTTGATTGTACAGAAGCTTAAACACTTTTTTTCTTAAGTAAAAGTTTAAAAAGTGAGAACAGATTTAAATATGTGTGTGGAAGATGGAATCATAAAATATTAATAATAATGACTCCTGTTTTTGAGCACTTACTGTGCTAAGCACTTCATAATTCACAATCTCATTTAACTCTTACAACAGCAGCCCTTCAGTGTGGTCTTTTGGTAACAAGTGGCTGAAAACCAACTCAGATTGTCTTGGGCCAAGACGGGAACCTACTAAGGCATGTAACTAAAAAGTCTAGTAGGATTCAGGCATAGCTGAATCCAGGGGCTCAACATTATCACCAGAACTCAGTTTTCCTCTCCCTGCCTCATTGCTCTGCTTTCCCTGGTGCTTGTCAAGAAGACTTTCTCTCCATGTTATAACCCTGTTCAATGCTTAGTTATCCTTCCAACAACATCAGCATTAAGAAAGCTTTTTATTTCTAATAATTCCACTGAAAGTTTTGGGATCAAATCTCCTTAGATTGACTTGGGTCACATGACCACCTCTGAACCAAACTCTGAATGGTTCTGGAATGTTGCTAGAATATTATGATTGGCTTGTCATAATATCTGATCTGGGGTGGGGGTCAACACTTCCTGAAACACATGAGGATGAGGGGATGTCACTGAGTTGCAAGAAAAGGGGGATGCTGGGTAGACAAAATATCAATGTCTACTGCTAGTGTCCCTCTTTTATTAACAAGGAAACTGAAGCTAGTGCATGCCTAAGTGTGCTTTGATCGGCAAGGAGGACAGCCTGGCTGGAATGTAGTGAGTAAGGGGAAATTAGGGGGAGAGGAAGTCAGTGAGGGCAGGGGGGCAGATTGTGTAGGGCCTTGTGGGCTGTTCAAAGGACTTGGGCTTTCGTTCTGAGTGAGATGGAAGGCTCAGAGCTCAGGAGTGAAATGATCTGATAGAAGTTTGGAAAAAAATCACTCTGGCTGCTCTGGTGCTCAAATGTAGAATGTATTTTTTAAATTGAAGTATAGTTAATATATAATCTTATATTGGTTTCCAGTATACAACACAGTGGTTCAATAGTTACCCATATTATTAAAACCTCACCCCCTTCTAGTGTGGTTACTATCTGTCAACATAGGAAGATGTTATAGAATCATTGGCTATATTCTCCATGCTGTAGTACCATCCATGTGACCAACTTATATTATGATTGAGAATTTTTGTGCTGCTTTATCCCTCTCCCCCCTCCACCCATGCACCGCTCCACCTCTCCCATGGTAACCACCAGTCACTTCTCAGTGTCTATGAGTCTACTGCTATTTTGTTCATTTTGTTTTGTTTTGTTTTGTTTTTAGTTTCTATAAATAAGTGAAATATTTTGGTATTTGTCTTTCTCTGCCTCACTTATTTCATGTAGCATAATACCCTCTAGGTCCATCCATGTTGCAAATGGCAGGATTTCTTTCCCTTTTATGGCTGAATAATATTCCACTGTGTACATGTACCATATCTTCTTTATCCATTCATCTATTGGTGGACACTTTGGTTGCTTCAAATGTAAAATATTATATTCTGTCTCCAGCCTTTCATGTTTATTCATGTAACAAATATGAAATGGATATGGGCCCCAGGCCTTACTAGTTAGTGCATTCTACTTCCCTGCCAGTGACTGTATCAGGGATCACGCGTGACATACATCTGTCTGGCAAGACTAGTCCAGGTACTTGTGTGTGACAGTTGCAAGAAAAGAAACTCTTTCCACTGGTGTTCCCAAAGACATTTCTTGGTTCCAGGGACTGCCACTTAGTAAGAATCTAAGTGGTCAACTTACCTAAGTGGGTCAACACAAAAAGCACAGAGACCGTGATGGGGAGGAAGAAAGTTTGACCTTGATGACATTGGCTGACTCCTAGATCAAGCTAGTCCTGAAGTCATTCTTACCCTGGATTTCTCAGTTCTGTGATTTCTCAGTTCTTTTCATTTAAGCCATTTTGAGCTGGGTTTCTAATCCTCACAGATGAAAGAATCTTGAATGAGACGACATGTACATGGAGCCCTACTAGTTTCTTGATTCTGGAAGCAGATGCCAGGGTGGTTTTAACTAGGTTCTTGCTCCTCACGAGTTCACACCGACTGAAATCAAGAACCTGTGCCTCTTTCCCTGCCTCCATCTGTATTATAGACTCTGTTTGCACGGGCAGCTCTTGCTTTTTACTGTCATTCCCAAGAGTGTTTAGCCCAAGGTAGAGCCTTGGGTGGGGACTCCTGAAATGGTGCCTAATAGTTTGCTTGAGGATTTAACTTCCAACAGGAAAATGTTAATATGCAGGGTGGCTGGGAAACCTACCTGCCTCCCAGGTCAGATTACACATCCAAGAGTCCCTCCCAACTCCCATCCCACCGACCCCGGGCTGGCAATTAACCAGGAAGTAAAAGGAGAGGAAACAAGTGAAGCTCTATTCCCTTTCTTTGGTTCCAAGGAGGAGTTTGCTTGATCAGATCAGCCCTTGGCCACCCCCTGCCATCTTTCATGTTGGACTGGGTTTCATTCGTGTCCTCTAAGAGGCTGATCCTGGAGCCAGAGCTGAGGCCAGGTGGATGAGAAAAACAGTTTTCCACCCTTTGTGTTAACAGCAGCCCTGGGCTGGAGTCCGCGGGGGAAAGGACTTCCTGACCCAGGGATTGGGGATGGGATTACAGGATTTGTCACCCCATCTGCCCCTTTGGCCTCCCCAAAAGGTGTGTTTGTGTGGAGGAAAGGGGGCAGGACCCCAAAGCCTTGTTCTAGTCCCTCGGGGTGAGAGAGTAAGGAGGTGAGTCTCATACGTTACTATGAAGCAGCTGATCATGCTGCTCCCCAATTCCCATGTCTGGAGTGTAGGCTCTGCATAGCCTGGCCCCAGCTGAACCACCCAGCATTCTCCTCCAGGAACCTAAACTTGCACGGTTCCCTACCTGCTCCCTTCACCCGCTGCGTGCTTTCAGAACCCCGGCCTTTGCCTCTGCTGTGCCTTCTGTCTGTCATGTCCTTCCTCCCATCCTTGCTCAGTGGTAGCTCAAGACTTAGCTCAGATGGCACCCTGTGACGCCTGCCAGCCCCCAGCCCCTCCCCCACACGGCACCACACACATCAGAATCTGTCTCTTTTGGGCTTTGTTCAAACTCCTCATAAAGAGCTTCTCTGTCAAGTTGTGCCATTTGAGGTGCCTTTTCAAAACCTTGAGTTTTTAGCTGCAGACCTGACCAGATCTAATCATATCCAGAGTCAGCACACGATTTACATAGCACCCACCCTGGCCCTGCTGCAGAGCCATTTGCCGCCCTGACTCTGCTCTCTTGGATGCCCAGGAAGCCATTCTTCCGTGGCCACATGAGTGCCCAGTCCTTCTCTTGTACCAGCTGCGGTCACCCTATGCCTATCCCCCCTTATCTGCTTTCCCAAGGCAGCTCAGGCCCCTGCTTGCCCCGGGCCCTGCCAACCGCCCAGCCTTATCTTGTACCACTTCCCTACCTCCCCACCCTTTTCCTCCCACCCTGTGTCCTTTCTCTCCCTCTGATGCCCAAGCCCCCCCAGCTTCAACCAAGGTCCCCACGTGCCTCTCTTCCCCTCTATTCTTCACCTCATGCCCACCCAGCCCTCAGGTTTCTGCCTGAATCTCGCTTCCTCAAGGCTTCCCTGATCCCCCAGCTACACTTCCCCGGTGACGGTGACGCATTCATAGCACACTGGCTGCTGATGCCGTGAATGCAGCAATCGCCACCCTTCCCAATTCATGTGGAGAGTCCTTTCAACTGTCTTAAAATGCTGCCGGTTTTCTAGGAAATTGGTTAAGGCGTGTGTCGTCCCCAAGGCTGAGCAGCCGCAGTGTTCAGCTCTTAGACAATAAAACTGCCCTGGGGTGTTCAACACCTGTGCTAGCACATCCCGCCATGTTGTTATGCTGCAGGAGGGGATATTCTTGTTTCTTTAGCTTAATCATAGGTGACCTGAGGGTGAGGTCTTTTGTCTTCTACATTATGTCTCCCAAAGCCCCTAACACAAGTCTGAACAAAGTGAACTACTCTCAGTCCCTCTCTCTCTCACACACACATGTGTGCACACACACACTCATCCTTCCCTGTGGTCCCACAGGGTAGGCATAGTAGGCTCTGGTGGTACAACCCAATTCCCCTTTAGAGAGGCTGCCTCATTGTAATTGAAAGGATTTTTGGAAAATCCTGGCTTCAAATCCTGTTTCAGCTATTTAAGAGGTGGGTGGTTTGGGGGAGAGCATCTTAACCTCAGATTCCTCTTTTATAAAATGGAAACTCAAAAAGCCCAATCATAGGGTCAATATACTAGTTAAATGATTTGAGACTTATAACTGTCATGTGAAAATACAAGTGGTATGATCTCACTGTATAAAATAAAAACCTTCTGCGTGTGTGTGTGAGTGAAGGCATGCGAAAAAGTTGGAAGGGGCTCACCCCGAACTGATGGAGCTTTCCTGGGAAGGGGCGCAATGGGGTGGGGAGGACAGTGAAGTATTTTCCTCTTTATGCATTTATGCTTTTTTGTTTGGATTTTTGAGACCATGTTCAAGTGTAATCCTGGTTGCTGAGCAAATATTTACCCACTTCCGTGGAAGGAATGTGCTTCTCTGTTTTTGTGTTTTCAGCCTTGGCCACGTGGCTGCCTTTGGTTGATGAGATAGTGGGCATGGTATGAACAAAGGCTTGAACTGTGCTGGTGCAGTTGGACTGCTTCCCTGTGCTCCTGCCTGCCACCCCGAGGAGGACATGCCCTGGGTGCCCTGCTAGTCAGACCTAACCTGGGGCAGACCTGAACCAGACCCCGTTGCCTGGAGGCCCAGCTAAGATGATGAGATCAAGTGTCTCCTCGGAACATCTGCAGATGGATGAACCAGAAATAAATGAGTTTATTAAATGAGTTAATTAATACATACATTTGTAAAATCTGACTGATACACTTCTGTAATTTTTTTTTAAAGAGGAAAAAAAGACTAAATAGAAAAAAAATAAAATTAGGAAACACAGTGCCAAGCAATTGGCTGTTCAGTAAATGCTGGATCCTCTTCCATCCCGTAATGCTCTTTCAAGGGCTGGTTTAGAAGATTCCAGAAGGCCTTCCAAGCCCGTATCTGAGTGGGCTGCCCTTGCCAGTGGCACTTGCACCAACCACTTATTTTATTCTGCTTTGCAAACTATTTAGTTATTCCCAGGTCTATCTTGTCCACTTGAAGGCAGTCTCTGCCTTCAAGAGGAGCTTACTATCTAGTTGTATAAACACAATATAAACACAAAGGAATCTTCTCTTCTCTTCTCTCATGCAGGCCCAGTTCCCTTGAACTGTCAGAGCATCTTGGTGAGCTGGGCTGGATTCTAATATTTAAAGTACTTATTTTGTGTTCACTGTGGTTACCAAATAAGATTCAAAGTGGGGCAGTTATTACCCCCACACTGCAGCTGAAGAGATGGATGCTGAAAAGGCACAATCATCTGAAGTCATACAGCTTGTAAGAGGTGAAGCTGAATTGGGGCTCAGGTCTGTCTGGATCCAAAGCTGCTTCCTGGGTTTAGCTGCTCCCTTTTGCCATAAGAGGCTCCCTTAAGCACTTGCCGAAGGGTGTTAGGGTAAAAGAATAGAAATAAACACAATTTTGTGGTTGGCTGGTATGCATCAGAAGCTGACTGATATATCTGAGAGAGAGGCATTTGCTGGGTGTGAGGGCTGCTCCATGCAGTCGCCATCTGCAAACGGGCTGGACTTTTTCAAGTCATGAGCTGACAAAGGCTGCAGGTAACACTGTAGAAGCCCCAGTTTCGTACTACCAAAGCCAATGGCTCTCTCAAACTGGTGGTGAGCCAGGAAGTGGATTAGATACGGGCATAGGAATCAGGCGGCTGAGATTTGAGTTCTGACTCTACAATTCACTTGCTGTGCAACTTGAGGCAAGTCAGTCACCATTTCTGGGCTTTGAAGGGTTGGAGCTGGGAAAGTTGGGGCCAAGGTGGCCCACAGACATATTGGTTTGGAAGGCACATTGTTTCAATTTTATTTCATTGTAGTTTATTTGGCAACGTTAAAACAGTTAAATGTTTGTAAGGAAATAGTCACTCATGCATGACTGGCAGGAGTGGATCTTGGCAAAACCAATATGAGAGGGGCCAATTTGGCAAATTCATTAAATATTAAAAATGCACATATAGAAATTCTACTCTTTGGAATTTAACCCACAGATACACATGCTCATGTGGAAAATGATGTACATCGAAGGTTATTCAGACAGCATTGTGATGCAATAGTTTTGAAAAACAGTCCAGTCATATCAACAAGGGGACAGGTTAGATCAAATATGGATCATCCATTCAATGGGATACTATGCAGTTGGGGGAAAAATTGAGTACTCTGCCTAGGCACTGATAAGGCAAGTTCTCTAGGATATATTAAGTAAAAAGCCACATGAAAAGCAAAGTATTTGTTATAAAGAAAAAACTCTCTTCTGTATAACGAAAAAAATATGTGCATATATGTTACTATTTGCTTGTAAAATTATAAAAAAGCTTTAAGTATTAGCAAAGAATAATAACTGTTTACCTATGGGAAATAGGGTACTGGAGTGAGAAACTCCATTCACCTTTTCAAAATGTTTTAGATTTTGAAAAAAAGAGTTTAAAATATCAGGTGTTTTCACATATATAGATGATCTAGCATTCCTGCAGGCAAGAGCCAGATAGAGCTGAGTAGTGACTGCCTCTTGGATGGGGGGTATGCTCTCCAGTTTTCCATAGTCCCCACCACTCCCTGTTGTCTTCCTGACCCCAAGACCTGATGCCTGTTGCCGTGTATATCATTTTGCACACTGTAGTTTTTCTTAGGCTCAAGACTAAGAGAAAAGTGAAACACTTTTCATGCCCGTGTCTCTGTCAGAAGAGGAGGCTCATTTCACAATAATGTGAATGTACTTAACACTGCTGAACTGCACACTTAAAAATTGTTAAGATGTAAGTTTTATGTCCTGTGTATTTTACCACAGTTTTTAAAGACATGTGGCAAGCGCTATACCTGTGGGTAGATGCAAAGATGGCTCCTAGTGCCAACAAACTTCCAGAGCCAGTAATCAGCCCACCTTGGCTCACATTCTGCTCTGTGGCCTATGGGATGGAAAGGTCGTTCTGCTTTTCTTGCAGGCATAACCCGTGTGATCGCTTGAGTTTGTATCTCTGAAGTAGGAGGTTTCAAGGTCTCTCTTGCCTCGATGATTCTTGAACTTCTGCTCCAGCCTTGCTGTGTGACCTTGGACAAAGTATTTCCCCCTCTCTGGGCCTCTATTTCCCTATCTGTTAAATGAGAAGCTTAAAGTGCATTATTTCAAAGGCCCTTTAGTACTAAGAATCTCTCTCTTGATTTCTCCTTGGGCAGTTCTTCTGTCACTGTCTCCAAAGACAGATGAAGCGGGCTGGGGGTTGGTGGAGGGTGGACGGGGGTGCACAGTCTTCCTTTCTTGGTGGGGCTGTGTGGGCTGCAGTGGGAGGTTCCCTTTTCTTCCTTCTTTTCTTTCTTTTTTTAACCAGAAAGTAATTTTAAACACTAAGTGGGAAACTGCTAAAAGACACGCACACACACACACACATGCCACACACTCAGGTCTCACGTGCTACAACCTCCTTCGGGGAGCGAGCAAAGGGAGTTCTCAGTTCTTACTATTCCCTCCCCTCCCCCCACCCTAAGGGAGGGGCAACTCATTCCATTCATCTTTTGCTCTGGCTGAGTCGCAAAACTGAAAAACCCCTGTCTTCTGGCCTTTAGCAGCCATTAGGGCTGCCCCTCTCACCAGTGCCTCTCAGACTTGCACACACATGCATCTCACCTGGACTCTTGGTAGAATGCAGATTCGGGTTCCGCAGGTCTGGGGTAGGGCTGAGTTCCTGCAGACCTGACAGTGTCCCAGGGATACCCCAGAGCAGCAAGGCCTCCAACCCAGGGTCCAGGTTGCTGTTAGCTCAGAAAATCCAGCTGGAAAATCATCTGCAGATCATTCACCTGCTCCTTCTCATTTTGAATTTGCCCTGCTCCCCTATTTTAAATAATACTGTTTAAACTTGTGATATATGCACAAGGTAAAAAAAAAAAAAATCAAATGCTTCAAACACAGCATCCACCAAAAAGTCAGTCACCCTCAATCTTACCCCCCCTTCCCATTCCCAGAAGTACCCCTGTTTTCCAGTTTATTGTGTCTTCCTCCAGAGAGAGGTTGTGTGTAATAATAATTATCATTAGCACTATTTTTTATTGGCCAATTCCTATGTTCAAGGCACTGAGCAGAGCCCCTTATGTAGATGATTTAATTCTTCCAACAAGCCTGGTTATTAGGACCCAATTTCACAGTTGAAGAAACTAAAGCCCAGAAAGGTTGAGTACTTTGCTCTTTATTACACAGCAGGAGGGCCAGAATGGGGATGCCCAAACCCAGGTCCTTGCCCTCTTTCACAGTTTAACACCTCTGTAGATACAGCCTCCCCATCTTTTTGTGACAGCCAGGATAGGATGCAACGATCTGAACCTTGCAGAGAGCTTAGTCGTAGTACAGGGTAAGCGGCCCTTTTCTTTTGAACAATAGCATAGAATGTCTTTGCAATGAAGGACCTTTTTTATTTATCCTGTTTTGGGGCATAGGAGGAGAATGGGTCATTCCAGTTCTTTCACTACAAATTTCTGGAATGTATAGTTCTGTCCATATATCATTTCACACATGTGTGAGGATATCTGCAGGATGAACTCCCAGACGTGGAATTGCTGGGTCAAATGCTGTGTTCCTTTAAAGGTGGGGAGTTGATGTCAATTATTTTCCAAAGCAGCTACAGCAGCTGGGTCGCACCAGTGATGTACGAGAGTACCTGTTTCCCCAGAGCCTCAAGAATACTGTTTTATAAACTTTGGGCTTTTTCTGCTGCTGATTTTGAGCTGTTTCACCATATGCAAAGGTTAGAGGAGACGGCCCCTCCCAGCCTGATTGCCAAAAGCACCAGCTGAGGTGTGTGGGGCTTTGAGATTGGTTTCCATACACAGCAACTCGGTTCCCTTGGTTCGGTCAGCCTGCTCCTCCAGAGAGCAGCAGCATTTGTCATGAGGGATTTAATGGCTTAAAAGTAAAAGGGATCTGATTGCACTCAGAAGCTCTGGCCAGCCACGAGCCCAGGGCCGTGAGCTCCAAGCCCTTTCCTCCAACCTCCAGGGAACACAGCTAAGAGACTGGGAAAAGCCACAGGGAAGAACAGCGAAGTTTGGCTGCTCAAAAACCTGAAACGCAGAGGGGCTCCAGGATGAAGGAGTTAAGAAACCGAAGATCAAGGTTCACCCTAGGCTCTGCCACCAGCCCTCCATCTCAGTGACCTACCCTTACTTTAGAGTAGTGGGAAGCCCACAGACTCAGGAATCTCATTACCTGGGTTCAGATCCTGCTTCCTCCACTATGTGACCTTGGGTTAGCGATTCAACCTCACTGGACCGCAGTTTTCCCATCTGCAAAATTGGGATAATGATGGGCTTACTTCCAAATGTGCTTGTGAGCATTGACTGCCTTAACGCACACAAAGATTTCAGAACAATGTGTGACACAAAGCAAGTACACAGTAAATATTAGCTGTTCTTTCATTATTCATATTATCTTCTTATTTACGAGGTTGTTGTTTATCTAGAATGTCAACTCCAGGAGGGCTCATCTCCTATTTCCCAGCAGTGTTCCCCGCCCCAGCACAGTGTCTGCACGTGGTAAGTTCTCCGTAAATATTCACTGGAGAAATGAATGAACATTTTACTTCTCCTCCCTGAGCCTCTGTTTCATCATTATTCGTCATATGGGAGATTTTTATCTTGTTCTCTCTGCTCATCTACATTGTCCTAATCTACGGTGATTGTATATCATTGGTCTTTGCAATTGGAAGAAAAAATTGTAATAAATGTATGAGCCCTTATTCATAATTGCCAAAACTTGGAAGCAACCAAGGTGTCCTTCAAATAGGTGGATGGATTAATGGTGATACATCCAGACAATGGAATATTATTCAGCAATAAAAAGAAATGAGTTATCCGAATTTGACTGGATCTGTACTGTTGGAACTCAACCAGGAGTTGGGAGGGGTGCAAGTTGTAGCACTCCAAAATCTCATGACTATAGACTATCTATGGTTAAAAGAACATATGGGATGTGAACAGATCCCAGAAATGGGCTGCTTTAATTTGTCTGATGGTTGGTACAGTTGGACAATATCCGTCATATCATAGATAAATTTTCACAAATGCCTAGGGTGCCTAAATGGT